CTTCTGCAATCAACATCTAGTCTTCTGCCAACATATCTTCTGCAAATAGTATCTAGTCTTTCATTAACAGTATCTAGTTTTATGCTAACTAAACTAGGCTCTTGTCAGCAGCATACCAACCAGCACTTCTAGTCTTTTGAGATTACAAGCAGACATGATTTTTTTGAAAATTTCGTGTTATTTTTGATTTATAAATTTGACAATTTTTCTTTAATAATTTTTTCTTGGAAATATCAATAATATTATTTTATAGTTATATCGAGGCTTTACTGCTTCAATTTAAAAAAATTAAAAATTGATTAATGAAATAGATTGTTAATAAGAAGAGAAATTAAATTCGATCGTGAACGAGTACGAAATTGTGAGAAAATTATTTCAATAAAGCCCCCGCTTTGGTGGAGCAATTAATTTATCCGCAAATTAATTTGCGCACACAGAGGTCTGGTTTCAATACCCCGATATTTATCGTTGACGAAAACTGAACCGAATACACATTATTGTCAAAATACCGTTGACACAAATTGAACTTATAGTGGAAGTGAATTGGGCATACGCAGAATACGGCCGAGAAGAGCCACCTGCACACACACACACACATTTAGCTACCTAAAATTACTTGGTTATTGTAAATGCAGAATTGATGTGGCGTAGATTGGAAAACTCATTAGCGCCGCTCCGGTTGTCGTCCGTAATTAATGGTTCCGCTATATCTGAAAATTACGTCACGTCCACTCGTTAGGTAACTGTTATTGGAAAACATATTATCGTGCACCTGCCATCTATCCCAAAACCGTTTAATTGTTGAACTTTTCAAAATTAATAACAAAAATATCACCTTTCTCTCTCAATCTGTTAATTTTAAAGCAATTTCCACACCAATTACACATTTGCTTATCTCACGTTCTGTTCCCTCCTACATCGTCTCGATATACATCACGAAGCTATTAGGTTATCACGTGTTATTACCGTCACTACCGTCCGAGGACAAATTAACCCATGGGATACAGTTTAGCTTGGTATGCATAAATTGATTTGATTTGGTTTGATTATGCCATGCAATATCATTGCTAATAAGATCGTGTGAGGTAATAAGCGTTTTGATGCCCGACGAACTCTAATGATCATTAACTAAATCGCACCTGGTAATGACGTAATTTTAGTCGTCAATGTCAATGTTTAGAAAGGTTTACGTTTCCTATTAGACAAGTCTATTATCACATTTATCAGATTACTCGTTAGGTTTAGCACTGCAATATTATTTTTATTACGTTAAGCTCGTAGTTCAATTCGTTCAATTCGTTGTCGTCGTCACGCATCGATTGAAATTTTACAATTTCCCCTGTCATCAGTTTTCTTTTTGTTGCACATTTCATTTTCCAGCTCTACAAATCGTACAAAATGAGTAAGAATATGAAAGGAAATTCGTACCATGTAAAAATACGTCGTCGATTCGACGAAATATTCCAGGCTTAAAGACTTAGACGTAAGATTTGTTATCTATTTCTATTTCTACAATGGAGAAATGATAATACGACGTTTCCTCCCCTTACTGTATCAGAACTTTGGGGCGGTTCGACCATCTATCTCAAACAATCACGAACTAAACCCGAACGACGTAGAGTCGACACCAAGTGAACGTTCAATCCTTGTATATTACGTTTGTCCCGTTCGGCTTAATACGAATAAATCCACCTCATAGGGTGTTAAGAAATGTGAAAATAAATTTTATATATCAACATTCGAAAAGACGTCGATAAATATATCTTCTATAAATGAAGAAAATCTGAAAATCTTTTTCGAGCAGTATCTAATATTTTAACTCTTCTATGAACAGGATCTAGTAGCCTATTAGCACATTGCAGCTTTTTGTTTACTGCTTTCAAGCAGTAATCACCATTTGCGTTATCTAGTCATTCATTATCAGTTGTCTTTTGCAATCAGTCCTTCATTAGCAGTGTCTAGATTTCTGCCAGAAATATGTAGAATTCTGCAAGCAGTATCTATTTTTTTTATCAACAGTATCTAGACTTCCTTTAACAATATCTAGTCTTCTACACACAGAATCAAACATCTTTGCACTTTAAACCATTATTTAAAGTAATGCTTTAAAATTAAAATAACATATTTAAACATTTCTTGTAAATACATTTTCGAACTAAATCAATTGAAACTATTAAGTAGAATTGAAATTGTATACTACTACAAATTATTACATTGATTGACATTGTTATCCCTTTATAGCTTGTACTGTGTCACATCACAACGTGACATAGGATCTCAAAGGGTTAATTAACACTTCACAATAACGGCATGTACAATCTCAAACTGTTAATGTGTCAAATTGAAAATATGTAATGATTTAATTACTTAATCAAACTATGAAAAATATGAGAATGTTTTGCGCATAGTTACTTCATCGTTGTGTATACGTTTCGCGGCAGGGAGAAAATTAAATTTTACGCGATTTGCATTTCGACGGAGAAATAAACCGAGAACCTCCTGGAAGAGGAGACACCTCTCCCACTGCGAAGAGGTCTAAGGCAAATTATTCACTGCGCTATGTTAGCTTGTTTTGCATAACTGTCGGAACGCTAATTCTGCAGCAGGAAAACAGGCCAGTCGTAAGCAAGAAAGATGAGTGGTTCTTGTTGAGTTCGTAGATACGATCAATTTGAGCGGCATCGTTCTCTTTGCAGTCACGTCAAGACTATTGTTACAGGATTTAAACAGCGTTACATAAAGCTTCAAAAACTTTTTTTTTATTTTTTCGTATGAAGAGGATAACATAAAATATTCAATTCAATTTATAAAAACTATAACATTTCGATGAAACAAAGATACATTTTTAAAAACAAAATTTATAAAAAATATCAATTGAAGTGAATTGGATATATATTTTATTTCGGATGTTCGGGCGATAATTTAATTTAGTTAGTTTACAAATAGTAGATGAAACAAACATGTCATTTTTTTAAATTGCAGTTTGGAATGGATATTGTTTACAAAAAAAGAACAATTCAAAGCAATATCATTTTCTATTCTATTTAATAAAAAAAAGGACTCGTTATTTTCGAAGCCGAATAAAAATGTTTTATTTAAAAAAAAGTCGCCTATTCACCATAAACAAATTATTAGTTGAGTTTATCGATCGAAATCTAACAATAACTGTGACACCTTCCAAGAAACGTTTTAAATATTCAAATAAATCAATCTGATATGTTCCCTGTTTGAAAGTTTCATCGAAAACTTAACGACAGTTCAAAGAAAATTTCAAGTAAGACTTCCAAGAATTACTTCTCATTTCAAAATGACCCTATTTTGTGGCAATAACATGATTATAATAAAACAAATCCTATAATAAGTATGCGACACTTTTCCTGCTACCTTTAATAGTAGTAGGAGTTCTCTTAAAATGTGTGATTTCCGTTAAGACTTGAGCGTGGATAGGTTGGATTTGGTTTTGATTATTTGACTTGGATCTGGTATCGGAGTGGATGTGCTGGTTTAAACATGGATGGATTGGGTTGAGTTAGATTGGGTTAATAAATTAGGTTCAGTTTCTAGATTTGCTTTAATCCTGAGTTGGGTGCGGTGCGATGAGGATTTTGGATTTATGATAGCGTTCTGCTTAGTTGGCGATAGATTTCAGAATGGGTGAGCAGGACTTGACATAGCTGATCTTACTTGGAACTACTTTCTGCCTCGATGTGCTACTTTAAGCTTGAAAGTGGATTGAGGATTGAGTTAAGGTTGCTCTTGGGTACGGATACATTGGGTTTAGTTTGGTATAAGACATAATTGGACCGCGTTATGCATCACTTGACTAAGCGACAAATGAACAATGTTGGAAAAACGGGATCTCTCTAAAAATAGGACTTCTCAGAATAGGCTCAAACTCTATTTTTATCACAGAACACTGATGGCAGCCACAAGCACAGAATCCGCTTGGTCATTCGTTTTACGATTATACAGGGTGTTTCTCTATGTCGTGGCATCAAATGATTTTACGTGGAAAAATTTTTGAAGAAAATTATTTAGAGTTTGATTCACCCACATTTGTACCTCGGACCGGTCGAAGTTCATTTTTCGTCTGTACTGACGTTAAATGACGATTCCGCAAAGCTATAACACGTATAAATCTGTCATCAACAGCAGTGGTTTTTCGTTTTCTACCGCTTCCTGCCCTTCTCTTACTTCTTCCAGTTTGTGTAAAACGTTCTACCACTCTTTTAATAATAGAGCGATGAACATAAAGGATTCTTGCAACATATTCATAATTACACCCATCTTCAACAAGAGCAACAGCTTTAGCGCAATTTTCAGCACTTAAAACCATGGTACTAATCATCTGTACAAAAAATCATTGTCCAATTGTCATTAGAATAACAATGAGCAAAGCCACCTTATTAAAAAGTAACGTATCTTAAGTAAATTGTTAGTGACAAATTCACAAGAACGAATGGTTCTTAACAAAAATTATATTTTGAAATCCTAAAACGACGTTTCAATTAACCCTGTATACTGACTAAATGACCAGCATTTAACAAAGGCTGAATATTGAACATAAAATTCGACATTTTTATCTAGTTTGCTGAAAAAATCATGAAAATTAAACGAAAAACAAAAAGTTATCACATTTCAAACTTTACCAAATATTAGCTTGTTCCGTTTTCTTTGCATCTGAGTGTATGATAAGTAATAACTAACTTCAGGTTTAAAATGTCAACTTCAATTTTGACATATTTGTCCTTTAAATCCTTTAATATGAGTACAAACACGACATATTTATCTTCAATATTAATGGTCAGTCTAGTTTTAGTGCAATAAAAATATGCAACATCGTGATATTTCAATGATTGACTCTTAATTCTCTAATACAAGTATAATTCGAATGTTTCTAGTTCTAAGTCTAGTGGTAGTGTCAGTATTAGGTCTAGTTTAGGTTGTACCGCAAATATTTGAGTATATATGAAATAATAATTATCTAATTTAATACTAAATTTGAATTCAAGGGAGACTTTTTTATTATTACATCGTCATTACATAGAATTACATTAGCTACATAATTTTTAGAATATTTTTTACACTATTAATAACTTCGTACGATATACCTCCGCCATTACTATTCACAAAAATTAGTTCAAAAACTAATTTGACTACATACACTGCAAAAAAGAAATAAATAACGTTTTGTTTTAAAGAATTGAAATAATTTTTTACCGGAGTACATTCACATGGCTTATGTCTGCAAGGTGGCGGACCATCTTTAGGTGGCGGTTCTGGACGGGGTGTCCACGGACAAGGGTTCAAAGGCATTACCGGTTGAGCTACTTGTATGATAACCTTTTCCATCGGTTGTGGGACTAAGGGGCAAATCAAATTTGCCACAGCGACCGGTGTCTCCACGGGTGGACAAACGGGGACAGGGCAACACATTGGGGGGCAATATGTTGGGGGTGTTACTAATTTCGCCGAGTAAGCCGGTGGTGGTAATGTGCACATATACTTTACCGGTCCAGGGGTAAATATAGGACATTCTGGGCAAACACGTTTTTTAGCTGGCGGAGGACAACATGGGTTATAACATGGGGGAACACAAGGATCGCGCCCGCCTTTTGAAGGTGGTGGACAACAAATAGGCATTTTTACTATTCTTTTTTTTGGGAGGGCTTCTTTAAATTATTTTTATTCTCTTTGTAGATACTTTGGTTCAGAAATACTTGAAAATTTTGATTTTGTATGCCGAAACGATCTGTACTTGTCGAATTTAAAATTGTATTTACTATTTATGTAGCCATGGTAATTAGTTGTAACGATGACATATTCAAATAAGGTATTTTGATATTAAATTTTGATTGGATATTTTCTTTGTATTAAACAGAATTATTTTTCCATATTTATAATTAACGTGAATGATTATACAGTATAACGAGTAATTTACATAATCAATTCATTTATGTATTTATTTTGTGAAATACTGGGAAGGTAAACATTGTACATGCAAAATAATCTCGTCAATATTCATCAGATTCATATAAAGCTTTTTGCTGCAAAATATTCGTCATTATAGTTTCTGTTTCGAATATCCTTTTTTATTTTGATTTTGAATAATATCCAGATGTAAATTGATTGTCGTAACAACAAATAAATTGAAACCATGCCTCGATTTGAAACCGAGTAATATAAACAAAGATATTCTTTGCGTTGCATATTAATAAGAGTTGAAAATATTATTGATAAAAACAATTTTATTACAAGTATTTTATTCGGTTGAATCTATGAAAAATTCTTTACAAGTTCGATTTGTAAGCTGATATAGAAAAAATTATGAAATTAAATTTACTGAGACGATTTAACTTAATAAAAACATAGAGAAATTGAAGTCGAGGATTATCAAGAGTTTATAATGATAAGGATTTTTTTAAAGATATCCAGAATATCTTAGGATTCTATGGATATTTTAAGCATCCCTAGCGATATCTAATGAATAATAGAGGTTGTGTGTGTTGGTCCATTGGAAAGAGGACACTCTTATTAACACTTTGGGAAATTTTCATACTCATATTCCAAGAAATGGATTTTATACGAATTTTTAAAAGTTAATTGGCGAAAATTACAAAATTTGAAAAAATTGTCGATTATTTCAAACAAATTTTTCTCAAGAACTAAAAGCGATTTTTCAAAACGGCTTTTTGCATTAAAAGAGGATACTTTAATTAATAATTGGTGATATTTCCACAAGGATCCTTCAAGAAATGAATTTTATAGCGAATTTTGAAAGTTATTGATGAAAATTGCAACATCGAAAATTTTATCAAAACTTCAAATATTGTTTTCTCAAAAACTAAAAGTTATTTTTCAAAACGGGTTTGTTTATTGGAAAGAGGACACTTTTATTAACATTTTGGGAAATTTTCATACTCATATTTCAAGAAATGAATTTTATACGAATTTTTAAACTTAATCGGTGAAAATTGGAAATTCGAAAAAAATTTTGTATCATTTCAAAAATGTATTTCTTAAGAACTAAAAGCGATTTTTCAAAACGGCTTTTTGCATTAAAAGAGGATACTTTAATTAATAATTGGTGATATTTCCACAAGGATCCTTCAAGAAATTAATTTTATAGCGAATTTTGAAAATTATCGATGAAAATTGCAACATCGAAAATGTTATCAAAACTTCAAATATTATTTTCTGAAAAACTAAAAATTATTTTTCAAAACGGGTTGATTCATTGGAAAGAGAACACTCTTATTAACACGTTGGGAAATTTTCATACTCATATTTCAAGAAGTGAATTTTATACGAATTTTTAAAACTTAATCGGCGAAAATTGAAAAAATTGTCGATCAATTCAAAAACTTATGGCAAGAATATTTAGACATTTTGAAAGACCTCTCAAGTTTTCTAGGCAAATTCCTGAATTTTTCAAGAGTTATAGAGGACCTTGAGATAATTTTTAAGGATGATATCCAACATTATCTAAAAATATCTAAGGATTTCTATACGTTGTTAGGGATATCTAGAATTTTTAAGGATGTCATGACGATTATTTAAAGACTTTTTTAAAATATAGAAGTATTTTGAAATGTTAAGAGTATCAAAAGAACTTTCGTATCTATAATCCGGGGATTATCAAAGATGTCTAAGGATTTTAAAAAGTTTCTACGCAATTCTTAAGATATTCCAAAGAATTTTTAAGGAGATCTAAGAATCTAATAATTAGGAATATGTTTCAAATGATATCCTCTAAAAAACATGCAAAGGATTTCAAAGAATTTCCATTGAAGCTTCATTCATTTTATATTATTTTGATGGATATTCAGAACCTACCAGAAGATTTTTAAAGATTTAAAAAATGTTTATATTTCGCGGAAAATAGCAGTTTAATAGGATGGATTTCAACCCGATTTTTACTCAAATATGTTTAATAATTACGTTTGTCGACTATCGTTGTCAGTTTTTAAAGATTGACTTTTTTAGACCGATGCGGGGAGAGGAGGGTTCCATCCAATCGGAAAAGATGCATGCAAAACATGACGTCGCGTCTTTATTTCTTTATGTACGTAAAATAAAGACGCGACGTCCAGTTTAGAACGCACCATCGGTTCCGATTAATAACAGCTTAGATTGTAGCGTCTCGGTCTCAAAGCGATCTACCTAGGTTATTGTCTCATTAATTAACTAGCATTATTAGTAATTTCTCGATTTTATTTTCAAAAATTTCAAATTTTGCACGACAAAACACTCAAAGTATGAATACAAAAATGGATTAGTTAACAAAGAAAAATTCTTCAGATGATAAAGAAATAACGAATAGCAGTGAAGCGTTAAGACATTTATTGTTCGTTTTCATCCCCCAATTAAATTGACCCATCCACACATACAGTTTGAACCCCCCTAGTTTGCAAAAAAAGAAAATTAAATAAAACAGGAAGCAATTTTTCACCTCGCTTGTTTCAGTGTTTTTTCAACCCAGGGGTCTCGAGGAAGGCAATAAATTCCACAAGCGCAAGGGTCGATCACACGTTTACGGCCCTCCATCAAAAACATTTTTCGCACCCCCTCGACCTTTACCGAGGACAAGTTAATAGCAATACTCCGAGCTCTATAATTGACTTTGTTGCCGCCCATTCGTTCGGACTTCTACACTTTTTTTTTATTCTTTTCAGTTCAAAATAACGATAATATATATCGAGAATCAGCACTTATTACTTTTTTTTTTTTAGAAATGAGTCAGCAATAAATAAACTTTTAAACGATAAGATCCAACCACGTTTTTATTTAAATTAAGTGTTTATTTAAAGTTTAAGGGGGTTTTTGCGGTTTTCGTGGTTGATGTTGAGATAAGATTCACGACGGGAACTCTTTGATGACATTATGAAGTAATTGAGAACTTTAAATGTTACGTTGAAATATGAAACGTAAATTCGCATCTCGTTTCGTTGCATCTAAAATTAAGTGAATATCTCGGCGAAGTTAGTAATTTAGTTGAGTGTACCTCAGTTTCCAGGTAATCTATATTACGGGTAACAAGACACTCTATATTATCGGTGTTTGTATCATATAGGATCAAGAGAAATTCTACTTGGTGAATAATAATTTTTGCTTTAAAAGATGTAAAAAAGAAAGTAGTTCTTGAGAGGTTTCTTTTCTATCCCGTGGAAAAGGAATATTGTTATTATTTTTGGGGTAATTTCCGTTTACGAGTTTCAGGTCGCTACTTCTACGGTTTGCTTTTTGGTGCACGCAAAGCCTGCAAAGGAGGAGGCGAAGAAGTGTCGCGAAACTTTTACAATATCTATTAAAGAAGTTTAAAGTTATTTGTAAGTGCGCTTGGAATTTCTAACGATCCCTGCTATCTTATAGAATCCTACCACGGCTCGAGGTTGTATTACGACCCCTTTTACCGCTGTAAACGCGAAATTAAAAACGAAAAATAATAACGTCGCGTTATTTTAATTTTAATAATCAACGAATCATAGAATAATCAAATCAGGGAAAACACCACATAATATTTTTCTTTTGAAAGTTATACTACCGGTTATGATTTGAATTATATATTTCTGGATTGTGGTGAACTTTCAGTTTGCTAATAGTAGTGCGCAATAAACTCTTTGGGCAATTGGAATGTTAGAAGGTTTCTATCTCCATAAAGTAAGAATTTTGAAACAGCTATCTGTGTATTAAAGTTCAAAGACTTTGACTAGGGTCCACCATAAAGCAAGAATTTTGCAATGGCTATAATGTTCAGGACTTCTAAACAGATTTCGCTCCTTCCTGAAACAAATTTTTACCCAAGTTGAATATCTAATAGAATTTAGACCACTTCTCCTAATCCATAATTACCTAATCCAGTATGGGACTTCTATGGTGGAAAAGCAATTGAAGGAGATTATAAGTAAATATGAAGAGAAAATTAGCGTATTAAATACTGAAGTGGTTGATTTGAAGAAAATAGAGAGATGAAGATGGAGTATACCAAAAAAGTTGACGAGTTGGAACAGTACAGCCGGAGAAACAACATTCGATTATTCGGCGTGGTGGAGAAAGATTGAACTTCTTCGAAGAACGCTCGGGGCAACGGCAATGATCTCAATAGAAGTAAATCTCGGGGTATTTTAATTAAGTTTAGAGGGTAGATGATTAAAGAGGAAATATTGAGAATATTGAAAGATGAATGTTTGGTCGATCGATGGTACATTATTCTATAAAGATAAAACTGGTAAAAGAAATAGGTTCACTGTTTGATGGTTTTTTGAGCTAGACGTTATAATTGTTAATCAGTAATTACGTTAATTTTTGAGCTATACACATGTTTTAATATAAGTATACGATACGTTTTTACTGGTAAGCTTACTGGCTTTTTCTCTTTTTTTTATATTCTTGTTTTTGGATTGTTTGTTCTGGGACAGAAATTATAAGCACTACTGACAAGATTATATGTTGTGGTGATTTTAATATTAATATAATGAATATTGATAGTGAATATCTTTTAAGTCTGCTTGATTCTCTTGGAGGTCAGCAGCTCATCGAACATCCTACCAGAGCAACTCTGAATACGGCTTCTCTTATTGATTTAGTTATTTCATTTGATATGTCTTTGGTACTTCGTAGTGGTGTGCTTCTGTGTCACCTTTCTAATCATGATATGGTATTTTGTGACATAAGAATTAATACAATTAAAAAATCTCCAATTTTTAAATTTTTGCGTCTCTTAAAGTATATTGATAATGATTCTTTTTTACAAGACTTAAGATCAATTCCGTTTAATAATGTATTTTAT